ATAACATCCGCCAGCTCCCTCAGCACTCGTGGGTGCATCCCATCAGGGCCCATGGATTTATGGATGTCAAGTTTGGACAAAAGATCTCTAACCTGATCCTCCTCCACCAAGGGAGAGTCTTCCTTTCTCCAGACTCTCTCTCTCTTGTCCCCAGGGTCGGGAATTCCTGAGGACTGGCCTTAGCAGTGAAGACTGAAGCAAAGGCAGCATTCAATAACTCTGCCTTCTCTAATATCCTTCATCACCAGGGCACCCACCCCACTCAGTAGTGGGCCCACATTTGCCCTAGTCTTCCTTCTGCTCCTGATGGATTTGAAGAAGCCCTTCTTGTTGTCCTTGACATCTCTTACCAGATTTAACTCCAAAAGGGCCTTAGCCTTCCTTGTAGCATCACCTAGCCTTCCTGCACACTCTGACAACGTCCCTGTATTCCTCCCAAGTGGCCTGTCCCCTTTGCCACATTCTGTAGCTTGACATCTCTTGCCAGATTTAACTCCTTAGCCTTAGCCTTCCTTGTAGCATCACCTAGCCTTCCTGCACACTCTGACAACGTCCCTGTATTCCTCCCAAGTGGCCTGTCCCCTTTGCCACATTCTGTAGACTTCCTTCTTCTGCTGGAGTTTGGCCAGGAGTTCCTTGCTCAGCCATGCAGGTCTCCTGCCCACTTTGCTCGACTTCTTCCTCAGAGGGATGCACCCGTCTTGAGCCTGGAGGAGGTGATGCTTGAATATTAACCAGCTTGCTTGGACCCCTCTTCCTTCTAGGACCCTGTCCCATGAGATTCCTCCAAGTAGGTCCCTGAAGAGGCCAAAGTTAGCTCTCCTCAAGTCCAGGATTGTGATCCTATTTTTTACCCTGCTTCCTCCTTATAGGATCCTGAACTCTACCATCTCAGATTAGACATAGTAGTATATGAGTTAATGAACGACATTCGGATCCTTGCAGAGAAGCAGATAAGATGAAGTGACTTTTCTGGCAACTATAAAGAAGTCAGGATTGATACGCTGCTGTGCAACATGAAGGGCTGTAAATCTTGGTGAGGGAAACCTCACCCAATGTCTCAACAGGTCTTTTTTTTTTAAGTATATAATGTCAGTATTTTCTCCCACCCAGAGCTTTTCACAGGAACTTAAAAAAAAAACAAAATCGAACAAAAAAACCCAAGCCATTTTATATTACTAACGTTCAGTCTCACTTAGCTCAGCATGGGTATGGACTGCTTTCCTTAGAGGTCAGAAACATTTCTTTCTCAATGCAAGGCCTGTAGAATACATTCAGTACTTGCTTCCTTATGGAGATTAAGCTACATGCTCTCCTAACAAAGGAGATTCATAAAGCAATAAAGAGAAATGGAAGCTAGGGATCACTCATGTGAATGTGGAATACCACACCCATTTTTGCAATCTATACACCTATTAATTCGTATTTTCGTTGAACTATTGACCACTCACGGGAATGCAGTTAGCTTTTCCAAGATCTAGACTGAATGAAGAAGAAAAAGGATTTAAAACTGCAACAAAGCTACAGAGTCTTGGTTGTCTTGCTTGTGATTTATTTCTGATTTACACTCCTGTCCAATAAAGCTGAAGGTGCTCATACACTGGGTAAAAAATGATTAAAAAAGAGGAAAGAAAAAAAATGAATGCCACAATAATTTTCACCATTTACCAATTGGAAAATTAAGCAAAGCTCAACTTTAAACACACTCATGAAAGTATAAATCTACATCTGTTTTGCTGATTAGAAGTGACAGAATGATATGATGCAATTAATTTATACCTGACTTACACTTCATTCATTAAGATATATATGACATGTTATATATTAGAAAATATATTGGTATATACCCACCAGGCAAACATAATAGACTCGTTACGATGAGTCTATATCTCCAAAACAAAAAGAGCAAAATAAGTTTCTTTCATAAGTGCAAATAAATGTTGGAATCAGCATATTACATGGAAAACACAACTCCATCCATCATAACAGTTTCAGCAGACTACCTCTTTCAAGCAACCTAGAAAATAACAAGTAGTATTTCAGTGACTAATCTCCTCTTTAATAAAGGTTGCTGGCACATAGCAGCTGATGAAAAACCATAATCATAGATCAGATTTATATTACCCGCTCCTAGGGAAGCAGATTATTTTATTCTTTACATTGAGGTTGTAAATAAAATGGAACTTAAATGATCTTTAACATATCATTAAAATGGCACCCACAAATGACA